ATGAACTAGCAGAACTTGTTGAGAGGGCTTTAAACTAGGTTTGAAGGGGGAACAGGATGCAGCTGGGCTGTCTGGAAGTAGGCCCAGGGGAGGGACTATGTTGGACTGGTTGTTTGCAGATGGGGATGGGCTGGTGGGAGGTGTGGTGGTTGGAGACCCTCTGGGGCACAGTGATCATGAAATTATGAAGTTCTCAATCAGGAGGATCACCAATAAGACTCTTACAATGGACTTCCAGGGGGCAGACTTTGGCCTATTCAGGAGAATTATTCAGAGAGTTCCTTCAGGAAGCAGCCCTTAAAAACAAAGGAGGTCAGGAAAGGTGGGCGGCAATCAAAACAGAGGTCTTGAGGGCACAGGAACAGACTGTCCCTGTGTGCCAAAAGATGAGTCAGTGAGACAAATGTCCATCCTGGATGGGCAAGTAGGATTTGGAGGAACTTAGGAATAAAAATAGGATGTATCATCTTTGGAAGGAGGGTCAGGTCTCTCAGGAGGTTTTTAAGGGGGTTGCTAGGGCATGTAGGAAAAAATTAGGGAGGCCAAAGCTCAGTTCAAACTTAATTTGGCAACTTTTGTAAAGAATAATAAAAACTGTTTTTACAAATATGTTAACAGGACGGTAAGAGGAAGGGTAAGACGAACCTCTGTTCTCCACTGGATGCAGGAGGTAACTTGGTAACTGCAGATGAGGAGAAGGCAGAGGTGCTTAAGTCTTTCTTTGTCTTAGTTTTTAGTGAGAAGACTTGCCTTCAGGACAACTGTCCTCCTGGGTTGCTTGATGATATCAGGGAACAGAATGGTCCTGCCATTATTCAAGAGGAGGCAGTCAGAGAACTGAGAGGATACAGTCTTAAACTGCACCAAGGGTTGATAATAGGCTGGATATTAGGAACAAGGTTTTACAGAAAGAGTGATAAAGTTCTGGAATGGCTTCCCCAGGGAGGTGGTGGAGTCACCATCCCTGGATGTGTTTAAACAAAGTTTGAATGTGGCACTCGATGCCATGGTTTAGTTGAGGTGTTAGGGCTGGGTTGGACTCAATGATCATGAAGGTCTCTTCCCACCTAGTGACTTGGTGATTCTGTGTGATGCCAGCTGTGTGCCTTTTGATGTCTGTGTGCCTTTTGTAGGCATCAGAACAACTACCTTTTCCTGGCAGGGTTAGGAGAAGGATTTGGACAGAGTTGAAGTTGTCAGGCAGGTCACCAGCTAGAGGAATGTGTGTGGCACCTGGTGGGACTGGGTGGCTTTGGGGCCAGGCCTCATGGCCCCCATCTATGGGTCAACTTTGCTTACAGCTCTGGCAGCCCATAGAATCACAGAATTGTTTAGATAGGAAAAGACCTTTCAGATTATTGAGTCCAGCCTTTTACACAGCACTGCCAAGTCCTCCACTAAACAACGTCCCAGGAGCCACATCTCCATACCTTTTAAATATCTCCAGGAATGATGATCCCACCACTTCCCTGGGCAATGGCTTGACAATTCTTTCAGTGAAGAAATTTCTCCTGATATCCAATCTAAGATAATGAACTCTAGGGAGGGTTGTGGGCAGCAAGGAATGTTTGCTGCTGAGAACATGATTGTGGCTCTGCCAACAGCCCTGGCCCTGAAATCACTGAGGGTAAAAGAGTCTTGGATTTGCACATCCTGCAACATCAGTCTGACATTGCAGATACAGACTGATAAGGCTCTCTAAAAATAAGCCCTCAAATTTATCAAGTACTGTCATAACATGCTGATGCCCTCTTTATCCAATAAATAGCACCTGCTGTACCAAAACTGTCTGGCTCTCAAGCTGTGCAGAAGAGCTGGCAGATGTTTTGTCCCAGGCTGCACAGGGGAATGCCAAAGTGCCTCATGGAAAGGCAGCAGCCTGACATGTTGCTCTTCTCTCCTTTCACCTCCCATTACACCTCAGCCTTCCACTTCCCAGATGCACCTCCTGACCCCACAGTGACTTTCCTACTGAGGAGTCTGTGCTTAGCCTCACCATATCCTCAGTTTCATACTAAGCCCCCAAATTGTGCACTATCCCCCAGACAAAACTTCTCAGTCACATCAAAACAGTGGGTGCTGGCAGGTGACTTCTAGACTCACCAAAAGGAGCTCTCAGGCCTGAAAAGAGAAAACTCCTGAATTGGGAAGTTTAATCAGTTTAAGGCAAGCTCTGTCATGATGTTTTTAAGTTCACTAAAACTTTAAAGGGTAAGTTGTATAACTCCTTTCTGAAACCAACTGTGTTGAGATGCAGCATTCCAAAGGTTTGCCACAACAGCTGGCCAGCAGAACTGATGTGTGTCTTTCTAGAGAAATCCTACAAATAATCCCTAACACCTTTGGATGAACTCAGTCTGAAGTTTACACTCTCTAAAGCTAATAATATGTGATTGTACTTCTTTTAGCAAAAAAGTAATTTTTCTGGTTGCATTTTGTTTACATTGGATGTGGAACATCAGCTGCTGTATCAGTCTTTTCTTCTTTTTGCTTGTTTTGAAAGGCAAAAAATAGTTCAAAACAAAGTTTCTTGATAGTTTGCCCAGATTTAGTGTAGAAAAAATCCTCCAGTGTTTAAAAATCTAGGTAACCCAGGTGTAAATTTACAGATTAAGAATTACTTTTGAAGTTTTACTACAAATGACATCAACACAATTCTTCATTTCACTGCTACTGTAGCTGTACTCTCCTAAGGGAAGGTTATTCAGAGGTTTCCTTTATCTTTCTAATCCATTGTTTTGCTTTGATGTGCAGTACAGGGTAAATTGTTCCTTTTGAACTGCTTTGTACCTGTGATGAATAGTAATGATAATGAATAAAGTCTTTCCAGTGAACCGTGTTCAGTGAGATAAGATGTGGTGAGGAAAAGCCACTCCCCTCTCCTCCCCTCTTCCTTTCAGTCAAAGAAGGGAAAAAAATCAATGTGACCCAAAAGACAGCAATGCCTTCCAGGCCAGCATGTTTAAAAAACCTCAGAAATTAAGGTTTGAAAAGCAAAAGAAGTACTTTAAAGTTTAAGGCAAAGTTTAGAGGACTGTCTAAAGCTGTTAGTTCTGCCCTTTACTGAGGCAAGCAGTGGTGCAGTGAGTACTGGCAGGGATGTGCAGGCAGGTCAGAATCTTTGAACTAAAGGTGTCCCAAAATGAAGAAAGAACCTCTTGGCTGAGACAGCAAGGGCTGGGTCCCACCTATGGGGCTGAGCTCCCCAAACCTCACCACTGAGAGCCCCACTGTGCTGTGGACTGCTGCAGAGTGAGCAGGGCTTTCCCCACCTGCAAATAAAACACACAGGCATCAACCCAGCAGACCTTTAAGGGTGGTGGGAGAGGCAGAGAAAGCAGAGAAAGGCTCTCCCAGCTCTTGGACCCTCAGCTGCAGGAGGCTTTCCCACACAACAGAAATGCCAAGTGGGAGTGCTTTAGGTTTTGTTCATAAACACGTCCCTCGTGCCCCCTTTGGCTGCCCCATGACTGGCAGTGCTGCTTCCCTGAGCATTTCCACATGCCCTCCTTCCCAACTTCCACATGCAGACACCAGACCCTGCAACACCTGCAGGGACACATCCAGCCATGGGCTTGCTTGGGCAACCAGCATCACATTTCTTTGCTCTTGTGCTTCCCCAGTGCTTCCCTAGAAACTCGGAAAGCAGGGTATTACCCAGGGAAAGCTTTCAAAGCTCACCTCTCCCACTCAGCAGCCCTTGCAGAGGGAGAGTTCAGCTCTGGAAGGGGAGGGGTCAGGCAGGGGCTGCAGGACTGCATCCTGTTTAAATCAGGCCAGACTCATGCTATGCATGAACAGTTGTATTTTATTTTCTTCTCCTTTGTGGTTATAGAGGCCACTTCTCATGCAGTTGGGATAATCTTAGGAGAGCTCCAGGACCTGTGCATGTGGAAAAGTTTCTCTTCTTTTAAAAAAAAAAAAAGTAAAATTTCAGTGGAGTTTAGCCTCCAGAAATAGGACAGGGCTGACACTACGTGACTAGACTGCCTTACATGAACCCTGCAAGTACTCCATGGCCCAGAAGCTGCAATTTAAAACTTCTTACACAGAGCTGGCCATAGGAAATACTCATGAAAAAGAAAAATATACTAGAGCTTCCCTGATCCATTCATAGCCAGATAGCTCCAGTGCAGCGTGGCAATTGAACTTTTAAGTCAACAACAATAACAGAAAGTACAGACTGCCAGTGCTTCTAAAGTGGTTGTTCTTGATTGCTGCCTGTGCAGAGACTCAGTATGCCTTTGGGGCATGAGGCACAATAACTCAATTTATAATATCTTAAAGAAAAATTGCAATTTAATGTTAGAACCATCGTTTTAATGAAGAAGCCACTGGCTCAAAGGCAACTATCCCATATTTTGGGATGATGACCAGAATTACTAGGATTATGAATGAAACTGCTTTTAAATGACTACATAATCCTGACCAAGTAATAACCTTATCACACAGTGAACTTGATATACTTGATAATATATATCTAGTGGTGGGTGCATAATTCACCCATAAAAGAGTGAGAATTACTTCATGTTTGTAAATCATAACAAGACATCTAGATTTAAATAAAAAAATACAATTTACTAGTGAATATTTACCCATTTGATGGGTATGCAATTCATTTTTCCTTCAGTCGGGTATTGTCTTGGTTTCCTATTGTGAAGGAAAAAAATAGAAAACTCTCTTTGAAGGTGAAAGCACCAAATAGTGAGTATTCAGGTTCTCTCTTTCTCTAGCTCAACTTCTACAGCAAGACATAGTGTGCCATGTCTTTTCCTGCTCCTGCCCTGCTGACTGCCAGCTCTGCATTTCAGGTCAGCTGCTCTGCTGCTTCTGCAGAGCTATGACACTGGGGAGACTGGCTGGGGGGATAAGTACCCAATTTATTTTTAAATTAACTGTGAGTACTCAATTCAATGACACCCATTTGATGCATGCAAAATGATAACCCACAGAATTCTCCCACTATTCCCATAATCGGTCTCTGTTTGTTTCTTCCTCAGGTATTGCCTAGCAGAAAACCATGGGCAATTTCAAAGGGCATGCCCTCCCTGGAAGCTTTTTCCTTCTTTTTGGCTTGTGGTGGTCAGTGAAGTATCCACTGAAGTATGCCTGTCGAAAAAACAAGAATGCTTGCTACCTTGGCTCCAGGGCAGGATTCCAGCGCCTGGAGTTTGTTGAGGGCATCATCAAAGCTGTCTTTGCCCTCATTGGTAAGTGAGGTGGACTAAGGGCAGGCTGTACCTTCTAACTCTTTTTGCTTTAAACTTTGTTCTCCGATAAAATGAATCTCCTTTTGTTCTGCTCGTTTGCCCTTTAACCACTGAGAAGTGGTGGGGCTACTGCTGTTACACAGCTGTGGCCATAGCATGGTTTCCATCCATGATGTTCTTCTGGAGATTCTGTGAGGTCTCCTGACCACTCTCGACCACTTGACTGCTCCTGACCACATCTCAGCGTTCATGTGCTGTTCACTGTGCAGGGAGGGAGACAAGGTATTTAGGCAAGGGGCTCCCATGTGCATGCTGAGAGCACCAGACTATGAAGGTGTTGCTTTTCTGTTTTGAATTCAACCATCTCAGATGTTGGAAGCCTCCACTGATTTACTGATAAAATATGTAAATGATGCAGATGATTTTTTGATTAATCTCAGTCAAAAGTGAAAATTTTCACACAAAAGGCTGAACTCCAGATCTTATTGCTGCAGGACTGTTGTGATGAGGTTTGGGGGAGCTGTTTGTCCTTCTGTTGTGTCCAGGGATGGTTTTGGGAGCTGTATAGCTGGCTGAAAGTGTTTTGTTCTTGTTTACATCCTGGCAGGCTGTGTGGCAGTGATTTGGCTTTAGAAGGTAAATAAACTAAACAACAGGGGGTCTGAGGAGCTCAGCATCTGTGGCTCAAGTTGAAAAATAGCTAAATTTTAAGCATTTTTGTACTTCTAGATTCTATTTGTCTACTCTTCTTTAGATGCCCAGAGTTGCCTCATTTCTAACCAAGGTGCATTTCTAATCAAGGTGCAACTGTGACAAAGTTTTGTTCTTGCTTTTCCTTCCTTTCTGTTAAGATACATCAGCACTGAAGGGATGTTGTGTCTACAGTTTTATCATTAAAAAATGATAAAAATCTAAACAATAGAATTCATTTTGAGGGTGATTGTGGACACCTTTCCTACAAATCTCTCAGTCTGTGTCTAGAGGTAGTTTGGCAACTAAAACATTAATGTACTGTTTTTATTTTCACTTTGAAACCACAAGTTCTTATTTTAACATATGGAAATTCCAATTCAAATCAAAAGTATGGAAAAACTGCTTGGATAAGACAGACAATAAAGGCATCAGAAGTAAAAGCTGCTGTTTCCATGTTAGGAAAGCTGGAAATAAGGGTGGAACAACACTGCATTTACTCTACAGCATATCTATTTTACAGCAGATGCTGGCCTATGCTTTATAAACAATGTAATCAGCTTTTATGTTTTAAAAGCAGAACAACTTTTAAACCCTCCCCAAACTTCATTGATCATATAAAGCATTTAAAAGCAGTTTTCCCTTGCTGGAGTACCTCGGCTAGCTGGCAAAACACTGAGGGGCCAAGGTAAGGGAGAGAGGGGAGCAGTGATTCAAATACTAACTCTGTGTACATTCCCATGGGACTTTTAATAACTCTGCACGGTGGAGGGGTTTCCTTTTATGGCTTTAGAGGAAAAATCCCCTTTGAATTATGAGTCTGAACTCCATCATCCTGCATGTGGCAGGGCACTGAAATGGTAAATCTTTCTTTTGGAGACTTTAGTGTGTGTTTTGCTCATGTTTGAACCATTGGAAAGGGCCGCTGAAAAATTTGGTCAGAGGACTGCTACAATAGCAATTGTTTAAAAGAAGAAAAAGCAGCACAGAATAAGCTGTTTTCATTTTCATTGCCGAAAACTGAAAGATGCAAATAGTTCCACCAGGAGTGGAGCTGCAGCCTCATTTCCCGTGGCTCTCCACTCTCTAGATTATGTGATGCTAAAACCTCAACCTTACTGGCATGATGCTGCATGGGGATGTATTGCTGCCTCTATTGCTTGTGTAAAGACTTGCCATCAGTTTATACCACAAATACCAGAACAAATGGGTTTTTTTCTTGTTTCATGCACAGGGATGGTGGCTGAGCAGTTTGTTCCTGATGGACCCCATCTGAAGCTGTACAACTACGAGAAGAAGCACTGGGATCACCTGATGAACTGGCAGCATGCCACCATGTACCTCTTCTATGGCATTTCAGGGCTGGTGGACATCGTGGCTCACGGGACCAACGCGCTGCCAGCGGCCATGGACAGGATGATGCTTTCTGTAGCAGTCTTCATTGAAGGTCAGTTTGCCTCTCCCTGCAGGGATCTGCATGAATCCTGTGGATGGGCATTGATCATTGGTCTGGGAACCTCCAACCAGCCTTGCAGAGTGACCCTTTGGGAGCTGCCTGTTTCACTCCCTGAAACACTCCAAAGAGATCACAAAAAGACCAGTCTTGGCCCTCCTTACACTGCCCAGATCATGATCCTCCATGGCAAAGGTGTATCTTAGCTTTCCTACCTGCTCAGACAGCAACAGAAATGTTATGGAAATAGCAGCAAAAACCTGTTTTGGGTAAGGGCTCAGCAGCTCAGGCATGTGTTTGATGTAGGTACTGACATGGCACACAACTGGTTAGCTAAAGCCAGTGTGAGTGAAGGTGACACTGGCATAAAGAGAAATGCCAGAAACGTTTCACTGTTTTCTAAAAGCAGATGCAGGGAAATTGCAAGGGAAGAAATGATCTTAAACTGATCATAATTTATTCCAGGTTTTCTCTTCTGCTACCATCTTCATGGGAGGGCCATGCTGGACGTTCATGTTCATCAGTTACTGCTATTTGCTATCTTTGGAGCTGCTGCCTGCATATTTTTGGAAGTTTTTTTCCGTGGCAGTATTGTGCTAGAGATGCTCCGTACAAGCCTCTGCATATTACAGGGCAGCTGGTTCTGGCAGGTAGGTCACTTTTCTGCCTTTGTAATTTCTTCCTCACCAAAATTAGTCATTTAACCCTTTGCAGATGTTTCACAGGTTATGTATATGCCTTTTAAACACAGGCCTCAAAAGACTTACAGAAAATAAGTTCCTTTAAAGAGATACAGAAAAAAATTATTCCTTTTAAGTGATAAAAGTATTTCTTATAGCCATTTTACAGAAGAAGAAGCAACCATTTTACTTCAAGTGCCTTTTATTTGAATCTATAAAAAAGCTAAAGTGTTTTTCTTGTGTTCTCCATATTACTGAGCTCTCTGATCCCTGAAACATTCTGTTCCAAATTTGCCAGCCAAGTGGCAGTGATTTTAGAGCATGGAAATATATGTTGTTCTTTACAAAGAGAGTTTCTACTGTCAGCTGCAGGAGCAGTGAGTAGACACCCAGTGTAGCACTGGACAGGTGAGGCAAAGGCCTCATTGACACTGCCAGGTTCAAAAGGTACTTAAGGTACAGATTCTCATTAGGAGACTGGGTGATGTAAAGGCTCCTGCTTTTCTAGTGCTCTGGGAGCTGAGCAGAAAAAAAGAACAGCCAGAACTTTGATATTTCAGGGATGTGGCTCCTGAAAGGACTCTTCAAAATGTAACTTCCATGCCTTCATTGACCTGTGAGACTATCCAACGACAGATATTTGACAGTGACTCTTCCTCTGCTGTCAGAACATGAGACAGATTTAAGGAGCTGCTAGGAGTTTGTAACAGAAATAGGAGCACTGGTGCTGATGTGTGTTTCATCTTATAGTGGGGAATTGAGGTCACTCCAGTGATTTTTCCTTCCGGCATGTCTAGACTGGCTTCCCTTTTTTCTATGCTGGCCAGACAAGATGAATAAAAATGTTTGCTGTTTCTTAGGAGAACTGGACACTCAGCACCAAATCAAATATTTAAATGCTTTCTCTGGCTTGAAGTCAGACCTCAGAACTGGCTGTATTTTTCTATAAGTGAACTCAAGAATGTGATACTGCAGCACTTGCTGTTTTATTTTCTTGTTTAATTTTCTTGTTTGCAAACTTCCAGCCAGTGATTTAAGAAGCTTCACATAGGAGGAATAGATGCAACCATTTATTCATTTTTTTCTGCCTAGTCTTATTTTAGAACAGATTATTTCTTTAGCTCTAGAGACAATGTGGGTTTTGTTTCAAAGTAAAAATTGAAGTACTAAAAACAGAAGAAATTTAAGTGTGGCTTTTTTCACACCCGCCTCAGACTTCAACCATCTGTGTGACTGAAAACCACACACTGGCTGCAGCACAGGAAATTTGTAAAAGGTAAAGGGACTTTCTTTCTGCATCATCAACACCCTCATTCATTGAATTCTCTGCATGGAAATGCAAAATTCACTCCCCTCCTTCTTTCTCTCCTCTTCCCAGTTTCTAAATTCCCAGCTAAACTGCAGAGTGAGGACTTTGAATAGTATTAAGCAGTACAGAGTGTTTGTCATGCAAACCCTGCATAGCCACAGGATTAACTGGTTTCCCATTTTATGCACAAATATGAATCTGATCTTTCCCAGCTCTCAATAAACAAATCAGCTACGTATTTCACATGAACTTGCATGAGGAAGCTCCATTTTTATGGCATTTCTGACCTTTCCCTTGGATGGCCCAGAAGAAATAGAATTGTAGCTCCCCTTTATTTGTTCATTGATTATTCATCTTCCCAGCCATGTAATGCATTCCCAGACCCTGCTGGGAAGAAGGGAGGCAGTGCAAATGGCCAGGCAGGTTTTCTGATCCATGGAGTGATTTCAGTTCAGAGTACACAGGGCTGAGCACCAGCTCCTCTCCTTACAGTGCATAATTGTGATTGTTGCAGGGCTGGGCTGTTGGGCAGGCTCCTTAATTTCCTGGGCAAGAGCAGGGGGTCTCTGGGATTGTCACTATATCTTCAAAGGCATTTCTGCACACAGCTGTTTAAAGTGTTCCATCACACCTGAGATTGACTACAAAATTGTTTTTAATAGTAAACACAGAAATAAGCAACACCATAAGAAAATTAAATGTCTGCCTTGTGATGGGTAGCATAAAACACGATATGGCAGAGGATGCTCATCAAATGACATGTACTAAATCTCTTTTTTATTACAGATTGGCTTTGTGCTTTATCCTCCAAATGGAAGCCCAGAGTGGAATCAGACAGATCACACTAACATGATGTTCCTGACCATGTGCTATTGCTGGCATTATGCTTTTGCTTTTCTTATACTTGCAGTGAATTACACAATTGTCAGCTGGTAAGTTACTGAAACACTGAAACTTTGGTGACTTGTCTCTTTAGTCTAGTAGGGGGTTTATTTCAGAAAAGTGTCACTGACAAATGAAAAGGTTTCTATGAAGTAAGTAATTGTCTTGTAAGGTAAAATAAAAATAGTTATTAGTAATCAGTGAAAAGCACATGACATTGCTTCAGTAAAAAGGGGAAAAATGCACCCATAAATACAGCTCTGATAGCACAGCATAATACTTCTCATATAAAATGAGCAGCAATAGTCTTGCACATTTGTAAGTGCATAAAAAGTCAGAAGTAGGAGATTTTTTTCACCTGCAGACTCCAACTGGTCATCTCTGCTAATTTTAAGTGGCTTAGAGAGCCATGTTCATTGATTTCTTCTATTATGTAGAGAATTCGTAGTGATGGTAGGGCAAGTATGACTAGCACTATGGCTGGGAGAATTGTTCAGACGAGCTCATGGCTTTACTGTGAAGATCACTACACAGAATTCCTTGCTAGAAATTTCCTGTGATCAAACCTTATTTCTTTCTCACTAGTTGTTTTCACTCCCTAATGTCTAAAGTTAGCCCTTTTACTCCCTAATTACCACCTGCCTAGTGGTAATTCTGACAAAATTCCAACTGCAGTGTTAATTTGGCTGTAAAAATGCCTCTGCCCTTAGATCACAGAATGTGATCACCTTCTATCCACAGGACCTTACCAAACCTTTTCCTGCAGTGTCCTAAACATGCTTCCCACCCCTTGCTTTACCCCTGCCATCCTAATAACCCTATTTAATAATGCCAAATACATAGTTCTTCCAGTCTTGATTTGCACTGAGGTGTCAGTTCATTTTGTGTCTCAGTCTGAAAGGCACCAGCACTCAAGGCTGGGTAACTGGTTTGCTGTATAAGGAGGGGCAGCTCTTGAGAAAGTGGCAGCAATCTCATGTCCCTTCTGGCACTGGGACCAGTGGCTGCTGCAGCATCAGAGGAGGCCTCAGAGGAGGCTGATCATGCCACACAGGCAGAGTTCCCCTCTGAGGGTAGTTTGGGCAGACTCTTTCTCACAGCTTTATGGTCCCTTCCCAAGTGTGCATACTGCCTGCACAACACTGAACCTTCTGGAGGGTTCACTGAGGTTTGTTTGAAGTGCCCTGAGATATGTCCATAGGAACAAGTTCTTGCAAGCTGTACAGTCAGGATGGATCAGTAAAGGCAGCACTTCCTAACCAGAGAATCACAGAACGAGTCATTCTAACTCGCTGATGAGTTAAACAGGATTTTACCATGTAAAAAAAAGGCAGTACTTCCTAACCACAGAATCACAGAACGAGTCATCCTAACTTGCTGATGAGATACCAGAGTTAAACAGGATTTTACCATGTAAAAAATGGCCAGATGAGCCTTTTAGTTACCACTGACATATTTTTTGTTGTTGTTTCCAGGGCGGTCCGTTCGAAGGTTAAGCAGTCCCAGTCCATGGAAATGGGTTTACTGAAAACATCTGAACGAGATCATGAGTCAGAAGAAGAAATTTAGCATGAGTATGTCTTGACCAGTTTGCCCACTCCAACTATTAGGCTAATTGATACCTCATTTCTACATTTTTTTGCCATCTTATTCATTTTTTACTGTGACTTGCTTTGAAAATATCAATCCCCTATGATGCCTACATCTATACAGTTGTTTTTTGGGTTTTTTTTTTGTGAAGTGTAAGCTTGATATTGATTCATGGTGGTTGCACTAGTACATTGCTTATCATATGCTTCACAGAAAATCAGACTAGTATTAGACAGACTTGATGTGGATGAGGTGGCACAATGAAATCTGTATGTTTGCCTTATTAAAAGCTAAGCAACATGTTTTTCAGCTGCTGCTGAACGTGAAGTTTCCATAATCAGGGTGTCTAAATATGTGTGTTGGTTGCCTTGCAAGTACCTGTGGATAAATAACTGTGCAGACCTAGACAACAGTAGAATAAGATAAAGAAACCACAGTCTTGCAGCTGTTCTGTGTAACAATTTTGTGTCTCTGCCTGTGGCTTTATGTTAAACAGGAAGAACTTCTCACTGTGAGCCCATTGAGTGGTTCACTGAAGAGTGTGGAGTGTGTTCCCCCCCAGAGACACCACCACACCTGGCAGGAGGACCAAAGATGTGTATGGTGATCAAAACCCAGTGTGGTTGTTTGTGCTTGTGCCCAGACAGTCCTGTCTCCTTGCTGTCCTTTGACTTTTCAAGGCAGTGGAAGTGACCCTGCCTTCCCTTGGTGCCTGGAACAATTTATTTTCCAAAAAGGCTGAGGGGTGTCCAGACAGGCAGCGCCTAACTGCAAAACCAGTTTCTTTCCCAAAGCTATTTCCTTTCCTTAGGTGGAATTTGGTGGATTTCTGCAAGATTCAGAGCAGACATGTGACCCACGACCTGAGTCAGGAGTGGGTAATTCTGCTCTGTGGGCAGGATGAGATGGTTTTACATTTTACATTTATCATCCCTTCAGTCACCAGGCAGCCTGCACAGTGCTGCACAGTGAGCTGTGGGAGGGCAGATGTTGCCTTCTTAGTAGCTCCATACCCAGCTACCAACACCAGTGAGGGAATTAAAAAATAACACCACTTTTAATTGCATTTATTTTCTCTGTGCAAACTGATGTAGTGAAAAGCATAGTGTTCATGGCTAATGGCAGCAAAATGATTTCTTGACAAAGCTAGCTAATAAAACAGTTTGTGCCTCAAGGGATCCCAAGACCAAAAAAATCCTTACAGGCTTTTTCTAAAACTACTTTACCTTCAGTACAACATAAATATTTACTTTACTTTTCAGACCTACCTTTTATCTCCCCTTTTTCAAAGAGCACCTTTCTAAGCTGCACATGCTGTGAATGCTGTATTTTAGTCTGTCAGATTTGTCAGTGCCTTTCTAAAATCAGTGGTGTTGTTTATTCTGAAGGAGATCATCAGAAACTACTTTGCTTCTCACAGGCAGGAGCAATGCAAATTTCTTCACTGCTTTTCTTGATAAATACATTTAATACCATGTCAATATTAAGGTGCTGTATCTCTAAACTAAAGAGATAACCTAAGCAGGATGAAAAGCACAATAAACTTCCTGAGCTTTTGTGTGTTTTCTTAGAAGACTTCAGTTGTTAATTTTTAAAATAATTTTAGGTGTTTGCCAAGTATTGTGGAGTAACACCTGTAAACAGGTGCCAGATTCTCCAGATGAATCTTCTTTGGAAAGCAAGAGTAGTTGGCTCGCATACATTTCTACACTTACAAATGTCAAGGAGGAAATTGCACATTGCTAGCCAAACATCACTGCTTTTCTGAGCAATTGTTGGCCTTTTTCCAGTGCCTTTCTCTGAAGGTTCTTGGAGATTTTGGCAAACTTTAGTAAAGCCCAGGACATTCTTGTAAGATAGGTATTGATATGGTATATTTGTGGCTCTGTGTCTCAGCTTTAAAGTGGTCTTACTACAAACTCTGAAATAATTCTATTTACTCCACTCTGCAAATCTAAGACTGGAGTTTGATTACTGTGGTTCCATTAAAATCAGATTTTCTGTAGAAGGAAGATCCAGGGCTTCCCTGAGGAGCTTGCCTGTTAATTGCAGCAGGGATACATTTGCCAAATGTGTCCCTGTCAGGATCTTACCTTCATTGCACCACATCACTGTTGTCTCTAAATCGTGGGGATTGTTTTTTAAAGGGCAGATCCTTTTTCCTGTTAGAATGGTTGAGCTACAAAGCTTCTGTAGTCTGGGCAGAGAAGACGATGGTTGTGCATCAAAGAGAACTTGGGGATTATTACAAAACTCTGTCACAGTAATAAAATCAATTGATGAAGTGAACCTCACGGGCGAGCTGTGCGCAGGGAAGGTGCTTAGCAAAATCTCCTTTTGAAAACAATTCCCTGCTCTTACAGAAGCAAAAAGTGACAGTACTTGAGCTCATGGGACAGAGAATGGCTGCCTGATACTGTTCCTCCCGTGGGGAGGAGCTGGGGACTCTGGCTCTGTCCTTATCCAGCAGTGGCTGTAGAGCTGGGTGTTTTTGCGGAAAAACTGAGCAGGATTTGGCCTGCTGAGAGGTATCACCTGCACCTCCCTCTGTGTCCCTGCTGTGAATCTCCTGGAAATGATCACAGAACTGGACGAATAAGCCCAACACATGTCTGCTGGTTTCTGTAAGAGCACGCTTAGCAAAGACACCTCTAAAGAAGCTCAAACTGGAGGCTGATGCAGTCTGACACAGAATTGTAGGGCAGGCTTGCTGCAAAAGGCTCTCTCCTCACATTAGAAAATGTGGCACTGCATTATCAAGCTTGGAGAAATGCAAGGAAAAACAGATCCTGAAGTCTCAAAGAAACAGCAGGTTTTGGAATTTAATTTTTAATACTTACAGGACATGGAAAGTGAGTGTCATAGCATGGGGTTTGTGTCTGACAAGTGTGTGGTGCCACAAAGGAAAGGAACACCCTATTTCAGAGTGAGATTTTGCTATATGGAATGCCTGACCCATTCTCCTGTGTTGTAAAGAGATGCCTAGGAACAGTAGGGCATCTATGACAACGAAAATGGTACAGCCTTCATAATTTCACAAGCAGCAGGTATTGCCTGAGTTGAATGAGGGGAGGGAAGTCCAACAAGTTTACAAACACCATTCAGAAAAGGGAAGCTGCTCTCAAGAATATTTAAATTATTTTAAAATATTGGTGCCTTTGAAAAACTATATGTTAGTTTTTACTAGACAAAATACACCTGTAATTTTATTTAAATAAAATTGATTTATTAATGTAAGATGTCTGTCATGTTTTCAGGGGAAAAAATATAACTATTTATGGGACAGGATGGGGTGGGATAAGCAGGTTACTCTAATAACACATCCAGACATTTGAACAGGTTGCACTTTAATTCAAGAAAGGTCAGTTAGAAACTTGATGTTAGAAACTGTGATGTTTGTTCTATTTAAATTATTTAAATGTATTATTTAAATTATTTTTTTCCTTTGTAACTAAATATAGCATGAATGAAGAGCAAATATGACAGCAAGGAATTTGTATCCTCTAGGTTCACTCATCTTTAAAACTTAGGCACTAAAACACTTCAGTGGATCAAGTACCTTAATCAGGTACTCTTCCAAAAATGCTTCAGTTCCTCCAAACAGCAGTTGGGGTAGGAGTTGCTGGTATAAAAGTTGGTGGAAGAAAACAGAGCAGTTTTTTTTATCCAAAGAGCTCTCCAGTATGTGCAGTAGTGGAAGGGAGCCTGACTCCCAAGAACTAAGTAACAAAGAGCACATCTGTTAAAAGGAAGAAAGACAACTAGAAAACTGCCAGAAAATTTGTCCTTAAAATTTATTCTAGGTACAATATGTGCTTGCTCAAAATAGTTGTCAAATAAGGAATAACTTGTCCTCAGATGACTTTTGTTGAACACTAATTTCTACCTCTTTGTTAGGTAACTGTTGCTGCTCATGGATCTCTATATTTGATACATTTCTTAGAATGAAAATACATTTAGAGAAGTAGATGAAAACCATAATTATAAATACTACAGCAGTACTAAGCAATTTAGTTTAGAAAGGAAGCTCTCACCTATAGACTTCTGCCATTTACTGACAAAACACTCTGCCAGAGATGGCAGCTCAGAGGTCAATGTAAGGATGCAATAAAGGCCTGAAATGGGAGCAGAAATGGTTTTGCCTGTGTGCTGTGGTTACGAGCCATTGCCTCCCTGAGGAGGAGAAGGAAGAAATGGAAAACAGGCTGCAGATCCATACAGCTGAACAGCAATTAAGCAACAAGAAATCACCCCCAGCCCTCTGAAGAGCATGGGAGGGGCAGCTGTGTTCATGGTACACAACATTCCAGCCTCCTGCCTCTGGTGTAATTTACCAGCGGCAAGGTTCTCAGACACATGGTGGGATTTTTATGGCTCCTGTGCCGCAGGAAACAGCAATGCCAATCTTCCAGTAGGAGGGAAAGCTTGCACCGCTTTGCTGGAATTTTACTGGGTTGTGACTCTGACTCAGATGCAGTTGACACATTAAAAAAAAGTCAAAGATGGTGTTTACTGCTGGCACCATGCTTTGTGCACACTTGAAAACAAAAAAGAAAGGAAATAAGAAACATCTGGCTCTAATTAAGGCTTAAAAGAAATGAAGGAAAGCATTAGAAACATCCTGTCACTCAAGAGCGATTTTATCTCCCTGCAGCTGCATCACACATACAAATTTGCAAGTGTTAAGGTTCCCTTTCAGTTTGTTATTCTATCATATAAACATGGTTTGATATTTTCATAAATAAAAATATACTATCTTTTAAGAGGTGTTCATTCATTTGTGTTGGTTTCGCCATCTGGTGCCTCAAGTATTTTTTTCTCTGTATTTTATATAAAGTGTTCATATGAAGTTAGAAATTCACAATCAGTTTTGCTCACAATCCTACTGCAACTTCCCAGTGGACAAACAGTCTCCTATTTGCAAAGCTGGGCTTGTAACCCAAAGTTTTGGACTCTTAGTATTCCATATGTCTAAACTCAACATTCTAGTCAAAGATATCCATGATGATGTAAAGAAGCAGGGATGCTCTTTCCATTGAATAGAAAGGGCAGTGTAAGTAAGCATGAGAATGAATTTCTTTCCTATTTTGTCATTTAAGAATACCTGCAATCCTCTAGCAGCATTTCTATTAACAAAGAACTCAGACCTGTGATTCAGTAGCTAGGTATGCTTTCAATACACCAAAAACCTCAGACTGAGTTCAGCAAAGCTGGATGGAGCTTAATGTGACTGAACTGTTCTTTTTCCCATTTTCAAGAATCAAGTTGCACTTGGTTCTGTTTTGTCTGTAAGATTCCTGCTCAGGGATGAGCATCTTCCTGTGTGTCTCTTAGATCCAATTTTACATTCTTATCCCTTTCAACAGCAGAAAAACAAACACTTAACTGCTTATGGCAGGAGGCTGTAAAGCAATTAACATTTCAAGGCTCCAAAGCATTCTCTGAGCAGGAGATGTTTCTGTCCAGCTGAGCATTGCTGCTGTTCAGTGTGACAGCCCTGGGGGAGCTGGGCCGTGCAGCCTTCGTGCTCCCAGGGCTTGCCCACCCCACAATTCCTCCCAAGCCCAGGTATAGGAATGTGCCCCCTGTTACAGAGTGACAAAATTCTCCTTTGTCCCTCTAAAAAGGAAGGAAGCCCAGAAGTTTCTCTCATCGATTAGGTAAAAAGCCACCTCATAGGACCTTGGAAACTTCACCCCAAACTTAAGGGTAGCTAATTGGATAGGAGCCAAAAAGTACTGCCTGGGCAATTTACTAGAAAATGATGTGAACAAAGAAACGAATGGCTTTTGTGAGGTGTTTTACCAAGAGCAAGCTCTCTTGCACCTGGCTCGGTTTTTTTCTGTTTGTTATTTTGCCTTTTTGTTTCCAACACTGCAGCAGAAGCCATCCTGCCTATTTTTATGCCTCCAAAAGTAGCTGAGCTATCTTGGGTGTATTATATTCCTCTGAGACCTTATTACTCATGGCTTGAGGAGGATAATATAATACCCAGGGGATCCCTGGCCCTTGGATGCACACTGGGGCCACATGGCTGTCCTGCCCCAGCGAGCCCCGTGCCCCTCTCCCATGGAGCCTCCCATTCCCTGGCAATCCCTCTGGGAAAGCTGCACTTTGGCATCTCAGGGAGTGAAGGTGGCCCCCGGGTGATGTCTGTGCCACCCTGGACTGTCACTGTCACCAGGGTGCCACGGCCCCTGCGCCCCCCTTGTGTCCCTGTGCTGATCCGCCACTGAGGACCTTTTCCCTTTTCTGTTTCCCATCCTAATGAGAATAACACGGGGAGAGGAAAGATCTAGGACAAGAAACAGGGCTGCCACACACAGGCAGGCAGACACCCCCCGAGTGGACAGAGCTGAGCCCAGAGGGACAGCAAGCAGCACTGTCCCTCCTAAAGGATTGTACCAGCCTGGCACTGGGGTGGTGGCACAGCCTGGCTTTAACTAAAACTTCTGTGAGCAGACTATTAAGACATTTGGCTAACTGAAGAAGCACATTAACAATTTTGGTGTTCCCATTTGTAAAAGCAATCTTAATTATTTCAGCATTTCCATAGTCTTTCGTATGTCCTGAGGAGTTTTCTTCAACACAAAGTGTCTTGGTCACCTGACATGAGATAAATTTATTTTCAGTATGACTATTTTGAATATGAGTATCATTATGAATACCTTGTAGATTGCCACCAATTAAATTAAAATAATAAATACATACATTGCTCATTTTTATTTTTCATAAGAGAGAAAGACATAACAATCTGTAAGGTGTTAAAGGAATTGTAGTCTGGAGTAGTAGCAGTATCAGTAGTGTCTAATGGCTAGACAATTGTGCCACATCCCAAGAGACCAGAACCCTTTTTTTGGACTGCATTTTTGTACATTCTCTGCACATCACATCAGCTTGTTGAGCCTTGTTTTTAAAAGTGAGATGGAATTGCTTTGGTAGTTAAAAAAGCCAAACAATCTCCTTTCCTCACTAGCAAAAAACACCATGTAAAAGCAAGGTACTGTCCCTGCTTACACAGTGGGAATTAATCCACTGAATGCTGATGACAAAAAAGATGTGTTTATTCCAACTCATTCTTAAAATAACTCTGTTTTCTTCTTGACTTTGACTGTGCTGACTTTCACCCTGTGCCAGCCAACACCACTTTTCCCAGGGTACCTGCAAATCTATAAGGAGGACCAGAGTCAGTTCCCATGAGGCAATAAACACACATATCCCAAAACTCCTTTTTTTTAGAACAGAAAAGGTTAAAGTTTTATCAGTAGACAAGTAGTTAATGGTTTATAACAAGAGTATCACTGTATAATAACCATTTTATAGCATTGCAGACAGCCTGCAAGGGTAAAACATACCTTCACCCCACTGGGACAGAATTTTGGTTGGAGTCACTGCTGTGTAGTGACTGTGACCCTTTGGTTGCTGTGTATTTGGCAGCTCCTCAGGTTCAAAGCAGGTAAGAAATTTTTCTACCCCATTTGAACTCTTTGTGTTCTTTTTCCTTTCCTTAATGTTTAAGCATGGCTGCTGACAAATATTATTACATCCATGTTGCATGCTTTTCAGGAGGAAATATTTTTCTTCTTACAACAATGTTTAAAGAAGTACCCCAAACTTTATATGCTGCTGTAAAACAGGAGAGGATGACAAGCAATCTCTGGAGTGTTTTCATTGGAACATGTGTACACTGCTCATGACTCCTTTGATAGAACTTTGAGAAATGTCTTGACATTTTCTCACCCTTTTTAATAGAAATGTGATTTATTTCTCAAAAGAGATAAATAAACCTCTAACTAATCTAGTAAATTGTATTTTACAAAGGAAATATTTACTTTGCAGATGCTTGTATGTTTGCATCCATATGCCACCTGTTCATGTTTTCATTGCAACTTGCATTGTGGAAATATTTATTGAAAGCATACCAGAGACTTGCATTTTCTATATTTGAAAATCAGGTCAATGTACTCTTGTGAAACATTTCTGTGTGTAAACTTGGAGCAGAAAGCTTATCAGTGTTTCCTCAGCAAAATACTTACTACATTGAAGTGTCACAAAACTGTGCACGGACCTATATTGAAAATGCTTTGAAAGAATCAAGTAATCCTGGCTGCTTGTCCAGTAGAGAGTCAGACATGATTTAAGACCAAGAAGCCTGAAGAAAAGTTCATATAAGGATTCATTAGGTTACATTTACTTCAAGAGATTTATCAGATGTTTGTAGCGATTGCATTTTCCCG